TTTGGTTCTCTTTGTTGGTGGTTGTGGATTGTTGTGTCGTAACAGCCCCCTCAAGAGGGGCATGGATGTTCAAAATGCCCATCTTGGAGATTATAGAATGAAACGGGGCAGAGCCTAGGGGCCTGGTGAAGATATCTGCAAGTTGATGATGAGAAGGGACATGAATGATCTTGATTAGGCTAGAATGCACCTTTTCTCGAACGATGTGGCAATCGATTTGAATATGCTTAGTTTCTCATGCAAGACAAGATTAGTGGCAATAGATAGAGCTGATTTACTATCAGTATATAAAAGTGATGGGTGCGAATGAGCAATAGCCAAATCATTCAAAAGGTAAATCAGCCACTGGATTTCACAGGTTGTAGACGCCAAAGCTCTATATTCAGCTTCAATAGAAGATCGAATTACAATGGATTACTTCTTAGACTTCCAAGAAATTAAAGAGTTTCCAAGGAAAACGGTAAAACCGGTAATGCTTCGCCTTGTGTCAAGGCATCCAGCCCAATCACTGTCACTATATGCTTTCAGATGAATATCAGAATAGAGGGGAAGAAAAGGCCCTAACCAGGAGTGGCCTTAATATATCTGAGGACTCTGTAAGCAGCAAGAAGGTGAGACTGAGTTGGTTTAGACATATACCGACTTAGGACTTGTATGGAATAGGACAAATCAGGCTTGGTAATAGTGAGATAGATGAGCCTGCCAATGAGTCTTCGATAGACTGTAGGATCAGGTAATAAGTCTTCTTCAGTTCCAGTAAGTTTAAGAGAAGACTCCATAGGAAAAGCCACATGCTTACAGCCAGAAAATCCACAATCGTCAAGTATATCCAAGGAATATTTTCTCTGGCAAAGGCTAATACCTTGATGGGTTCGAGCTACCTCCAAACCAAGAATATACTTTATTTCCCCCATATCCTTAATTGAGAACCGATCATCGAAGAACTTCTTGAGGATTTGAATTGCACCAAGATTATTACTTGCAAGAAGGATATCATCGACATAAACCAATAAAACTATGAAATAATCACTAGTAGACTTTAAAAACAAAGATGAATCAGAATTAGATCGATGGAAACCAAATGAGATAAGGCTAGAAGTTAATTTCGCGAACCATTGTCGTGATGCTTGTTTGAGACCATATAGACTTTTGTTCAGTTTACAAACAAGTGATGGATCACGATTAAGATAACCTTGAGGCATGTCCATGTATACCTCTTCATGGAGATCACCATGGAGAAAAGCATTGTTGACGTCTAATTGATGAAAGAACCAGTTATTGACAACAACGACGGCCAAGAGAACACAGATGGAAGTTCTGCCAGCAAGATGGATGACTGGATTGCTATTGAGGTGGAAGGCACATTGCATTGGTAATCATTTAAGTATAAAGGTGGATGCTTTTGCCGACAAGACTTTCTAGTCACATGTTGATGAATAATAGGTATAGGATGTGGTAAAGAAGGGGGAAAATGAGGAGAGCTAGTTTCACCTACTGAGCTAATATCAGCTTGTCTTCTACTGGTTTCTGAAGGATGGATAGTGTGTGAGGGAGGTTGAAAAGGTAAGTCAGAGGAAGATTCAGAGATTGGGAAGATATGAGGATCATCTGGGGGTGATGAGAAAAAATTTTAAAAGGAAATGATAGCCCATGAAAAATGATATTTCGATTGATAAAAGTTCCGTGACTTTCAAGATTATAAACTTTATAACCTTTGGAACCAAGTGGATAAACAAGGAAAATGCACTTCGATGCACGAGGGAAAAATTTGTGGCGATGACTAGTAAGAGTGCTTGCAAAACACAGACATCCAAAGGTTCGAAGGTGAGTATAGGTTGCTGGTTTCTGGAAGAGTATCTCATATCGGGTATTATTGTCAAGAAATGGAGAAGGAATTCTGTTAATGATATGGATTGCTGTCAGGACACAATCACTCCAGAAAATCAGAGGCACATTTGATTGAAAAAGTAGTGCCCTTGCAACTTGTAAAATGAACTGGTGTTTTCTCTCAACAGTACCATTTTGTTGAGGTGATTCAACACAGCTCCTCTGGTGGAGAATGCCATGTGAATTTAAAATCATTCATGAGAAACTCAGCTCCATTATCAGTTCGAAAGGCTTTAATTTTGGTTTGAAATTGCGTGAGCACCATTTGATAAAATCCTTTTAGAAGGCTATGGGTGCCAACCTTTGATTGCATCATATAAACCTAAGTGCATTTAGAGTAATCATCAGCTATGGTAAGAAAAAAATCTATAGCCATCACAGGAAGAAACATGAAACGGACCCCATATATCACAATGCACTAAATCGAAGATTCTAGTTGAAATTGAATTGCTAAAAGGAAATTGTAATTTCTTCTGCTTTGCTAAAGGACATATCTCACATTTATTCAAGTCTTTACAAGAAAACAGAAAGGAAATGTAAGAGATCTTGGACATCATAACACTGGAAATATGCCCAAGTCTACGATGTCAATATATGCTGTGAAATACTGTGAAATTGAGTATGGAATGTTGGGTTGGGCTGGGATGAGATGAGATGATATAGTCCGTCCTTTTTTCTAGCAAAACCAATCATCTTCTTGCTGGCAGGGTCCTATATAAAACAATGAGAGGCAGAGAAAAACAAAAGGAGATTCGAAGCTTTGGTTAGTTTAGATACTGATAACAGGTTGAGGGAGAAAGTAGGCACGCAAAGGACATTTTCAAGGAACAAATTCTCAGGACTTTTTACTTTTCCAATGTGACTAACAGTGCAGATGATCCATTTGGTAAATTTACCTTTTTTACTGTAGTTGATTCAATAGAGGATAAAAATGTTGGGGAACATACCATGTGATCCATGGCCCCGCTATTGATTATCCAGGTAATGGCCTTGGATTTGGAAAAAATCGAATTACAAAGAGATATACCTATAGTAATGGTAGCATCTGGTTGAATTGCCGAGTTAGATGACTGAGGGGATGTTTGTTGAGTTCTAGAAAATGCCGGGAATTGCTTATAAAGGTCTTGATCAAACGAGACACTTGATCCCTCATCCTTTACTGGCCGATCTCCATACATAGCATGTGCAGCAATATTGTTTACAAGAGCCTTCCGTCCCTTGGATCTTTCCCAGGCTGGGGGAAAACCTATAAGATGAAAGCATTTATCCACAGTATGATTGAAGTATCCACAATGAGTGCACTTTGGTTACTATTTGTCTTTCCAAAGTGGAGATCTAGTGAATGATCTATGTGGCTGTCTTGTTGTCATGGCAGCTGATTCTAAAATTGAATAATTCTACAGGTTTCTTTAACTCACCTCTTGAAGCATAAGGGCATAAACTCGAGCCAATGATGGAAGTGGTGAAGTAAGCAATAGCTGGCTTCATAGTGCAGAGTATGATTCATTCAAACCTACAAGAAACTTCATGACTGCCTCTGCTTGCTATGTATCTGATATGCTCTTCAGTATATCACAAGTGCAATTGGATAATATCCCACAGCTACACTTTGGCAATGAACTGTAGCTAATGTATTCTTCCCAAATGCATTTGAATGAATTATAATACATGGTGAGACTTTGTGATCCTTGTGAAATAGCATTGAGGCATTTTTCTAGATGGTAAACTTGAGGTCCATCACTTCTACTGTATCTGGTTTTCAATTTGTTCCACACTTCATATGCAGACGTGATGTACAACAGACTCTGTCAAATTTCTTTACTAATTGAATTCAATAACCACGAAAGGACCAGATTATTTGCTCGAAGCCATAGTTGTATGTATTACCTGATAGTGAAATTGGAGGCTTCAAGGTGCCATCAATAAATCCAGTTTTATTCTTTACACTTAATGCCATGGATATTGCTTAACTCCACGATATTTAATGATCTCTACTAAAAATCTTTGAAACGATTAAAACTCTAGGATTATTATTCGGATGCAAATAATATTGGCCGGTTGGATCATCAGCCGAGGGAATGATGCTATCTACATTTGCCATTTTCCAAATGATAGGTGATAGATTTTAGCTAAATATGCTTTGATACCATGTCAAATTCATCAATTAAAGATAAAAGGTGAAGCTGCAATTGCAGAATCTGATGAAATGATCAAGGAGAAAACGATGAATATGGGAATTTCCATTAATTGAAAAGCTTAATACAAAATGAATTACAATTGGTTTATTTATAGACAATTAAGCTAATTAACTAACTGTTTAACAACTTGAAGCTAACTATCCAACTAATTAACAATATCAACCGAAGTAGTTTTACCTCCAACTGGGTTGTTCCTTTCCGGTTTGCCAGCTGGTGTCGCCTTTGGTTCTCTTTGCTGCTGGTGGTGGATTGTTGTGTCGTAACAAGCTAATCACTTGATAACGAGGCTGAATCTCTACAACACAGAGAAATGTACTCTTCGAATATTGAACCATCGGTAATTGAATACTCCAACCTGTGAATGTAGCCTCCAACAGGCTTGTAAGAAGTTAACCTTGAGCAATCTTTCTTAACTTGCAAGAAGCTCCAATAATTTGATTGTAAAATCATGGATCCATGAAACGGCCCTTCTGCCTATACCATAATATACTGCTACCGCAACTAAAATAATAAACAGAATAAACCAATATAAAGTTGCCCAAAGTTTTCTTAACGAATGAAACAGTAAAATATTTTCTGTCGAAAGTTATAAAGCATTCTACTAAAACCAAAGTAGCAAAACCAAAAAAATAAATCGCTATGATTCAATGGCAATAGCATCAATTTTGAATCAGATTTAAAGAATATATTCAATATTTGCATACTATTTTTCAATATATTCCAAATCGATCAACGCTGAAAATTTTACATCACTTAGCAAAGTAAATAACGTTATACAAATGCAAACTCATAAATACATACAGACATGTATAGGTGTGGGTTGGGTGCAGTTTCTTTAATTGTGAGACTTACGGGCTAATCGGAGAGAGAATTAGAAGTAAAATCAAAGGTAGAGACAATGAGAGCATTTGGTATTCAACTGCGGCCTTTTCCACCACCTCCGACTAGGACGATATTGTAATTCGAGACAGAGGAAGATGCAGGTTCTGGTGTCGCCGGTGCTGATTTGGATCCGGACTTGAAGGTGGAAGCAGCTGCGAGTGGAACCCACGCGGCGCCGTACAGTAGAACGCCGTACTTCTTGCAGTTTGATGCGTCGTCGTTTTGGTCCTCTTCCCCATGGTGAGCATGCAGAGAAATGGTAAAGAGTTTTGACTTTTGACCTTAGAGCGATAGCTGAAGATGTCAAATATTTATGGATAAATCTATGTACCCCGCGCACATTATGTCATCCTCTCCTATGTACACATAGCATGACTCTTTACATCTTGAATTTTGCTACTTGAATTTTAACAGGTCAAATTTATCCATGGCCACCCAATTGTACAATTGGTATCAGTATGAACACTCAAATTAATTTTATTTCATCATGATTATCTAACTTTATACTTAGTGTCATCGTGACCATCCAATTTGATTTTATTTCAATATGGCCACCCAATTTCATATAATGTTTCTACTCACTTTCATGTAACGTTTCGTTATGGCCACATAACTTCTTTTCATAATTTTCATTAATTTTAGCCTCTATTTGGTACATATTCTTTCAAAATTCATTTTCAACAACACATTTCTCAATAAAATAATATTTTTCATCACAACAATAATTTTTTCTTACTTTTTAACCACATATTTCTCATTGTATCACTATTTAAAATAATTATTTCCTCAATAATATCAATCAAACACACAATTAAAAGGGATAAAACGGTAACTTTGCATTATATATATAAAATATGTTTTTAAGAAATTAAAATAAAAAATTTAATTAAAAAATAAAATTAAATAAAAACTTATTTTTAAAAAAATGTTAAAATATAAAATAAAATAAAAATTATTTAAAACAAGTTATTTAGAAAAATAAAGTAAAATATAAACTTATTTAATAAAAAAATTTCAAAATAAAATAAAAAGTTATTTAAAAAAAAGTTACATAGAAAATAAAATAAAATAAAAGTTTATTTTTTAAAAAAAGTTCCTTACAAAAATTTAAAAAAAAAAATTTATTTTAAAATAAATGTTTTTAAATTTAAATTTTTTTTAAAAAAAAATTGATTATATGCATAATATCAGTTTTACCCCTTTTGAAATTAGTAAAAATGGTGATAAGAATTGGATGAGTATGGTGAAATGTTATATGAAATTTGACGGCCATTGTGAAAAATTATATGAAATTGGTTGGTCATGGTGAAATAAAATCAAATTGGGTTGCTATGGTGATACTAAATATAAGTTGGGTGGCCATGGTGAAACAAAATCAAATGGGGTGGCCACGACGACACTTAGGGTCCGTTTAATTGTAATGGTGAAAAATGGGTGGAAAGAAAATGAATTTCAAATAAAGTAATTGTCTTAATTAAGTATGTTTGATTGGTATAATTTTCCACCAGAAATTTTTTTAAATTTTTGATCTTTTTGTATTCGTTTGACTTTTTTTTACATNTGTTTGATTGGTATAATTTTCCACGCTGAAAATTTTTGAAATTTTGGATTTTTTTGTTCACGTTTGACTTTATTTTATATGGAAATTGTCCATTAAAGTGATAATTTTTTTCCACAATTGGTTATAAAATTTGTGCCAAAAACTAAAAAAAAAAAAAAAACGAAAAAAAAAGTTCCTAAAAATTATTTTTTAATCAAAATTTTGTGTTCGTTTGACTTTATTTTATATGGAAATTATCCATTAAAGTGAAGTTTTTTTTTTTACAATTAGTTATGAAATTTGTTTCCATTGCAAAAAAGATTTAAAATTAAAAAATAAAAAGAAGGCGGAATCAGATTTCCCACCAAAACGGTGGGAAATTCAATTCCACAAAATTGGTGAAAACATGCTCGTGAGGTTGCCAGAAAGAAAAAAAAAATTTCCCTAGAAAAAAAGTCCATCAAACAAGCCAAATGGGTGGAAATGAAAAATCATTTTCAATTTTCCATGGAAAATAATGCTTGTCAAACATGCCCTAAATATAAAGTTGGGTGGTCATTGATGGATTTAACTCTATTTTAACACCTTTTTTGATAGATGCATAGGTTGATGAAAATGATTAGACGGAAATGATGGTCGTGTTTAAAATAGTCTAATGATATATTGTCATGTGACATTATATCAATCTGTCTGTCAACAAAGATGGCACTATTGCCTGATTGTTATACCTTTCTGTTTATTGCAGATCAGGCCATAACTCGTGAACCGATCATAAGTGCCTGAAACTTTATTGATAAATAGTACATTATTGAGCACATGTGTAAACTCATTTCATTTTTTTTTTAAATTCATTTTCAATCACAGATTCACTTTTTCTTTTTTTTTTTTTTAAATTAATTTTTATCAAAATCTATTAAAATTCTAATTGTTAAAGCTCATTCAGTACAAACAAAAAGTTTCATCTTCATATAAATATTTTCTACTAAAGCAGATTCATAAAATTGACAAATAAACATAAGTCATTAAAAATAATTGGATTATAACTTCATCTTGGTTTTGGAAGTTAGAATCAGAACCAAACCATAATTGACTAATTCTTAGTTTTAGGAACAAAAACCATTTAAAAATTATGTAAAAGCAAACTGAATGGCCTAATTTGGTTTGGTTTGATTTGGTTAGTTTCGGTTCTTTTGTCTACCCATACGTTGGTACAATAAAAACAATTTTGTAGTAAAGTAGACTTAACCTTGAGTTTAGAAGTCAATACTAAAATCACCAATGGTACTTGCTTTAGTGAAGATATACGTAACTCAATCAACTGAAAAGAAGAAATTTAATGTAAATTAAACAACTACTGAATGAATTAACACTCGTATTCAACATGCTTGGTTTGCCAATCGAAGACATCGTTGTGAACAAATAAAGTCATTTAAAAGTGTTATTTGAAAATCTCTTTCCTCTCCACTCATTTTCAATCACACACACACATTTTCGATAACTTTTCAATACTTTTTAATCAGGTATTCTCTAAAAAATCCCCTTTTCAAATAATCACTTTACACAATCACTAAATCGTGGGATCTCCATGATCTTCCATAGTTAGATAATTATGAAAAATTG